GAGACAGAGGTTGCAAGAATATGTGAGCATTACTGACTGACCTAAAAATAACCAACCCACGGCTTTGTTGCTCTCATACATTTTTCTTGCCACTCAAACCGTCAAAACATTTTTGCAAGCTAGGAGTTATACAGTAAAACTTAAACAGGTTAATTATTTTTGTCTCATCTCTCTTCCCACCCTTTGGAATTTAGAGACAGATTTATAGGGCAATGAACTTGTACCATCTCCTAAGAATTCAAAGATTTCGACTAACTACGAGATCAGAACTTTTGTTAGTTCTTTGACCAGAGTTTTCTCCGTCCTCATTTGGAAAATGACCATCTGCTCCTGATAGCTCTCCCAAGCTTTCTTTGTGAACGAAAGGGCGAAGTTTTAACTCAGTAATTTTAGCAATATTGGTTTCCCCTGTTGATACATAAATCTTTCCTGCTTTCTTTTGGGAACTCCCTACCTCCTTTGCTTGCCTATCATTCAGTGCATGTTTCTGTCCTTTCAGGAACTTTCTCAGGAATGTCATATGGCTTTGTCTTGGACACCTGGAATCCAGAGGGTGGTCTCCCAAGGATCCTATAGATCAAATTCTTTCACAGTATTTTTTCCAATGGATAAAAAGAATTTTCCTCACTCTCGAATTGCCATTGTAAGAGACAAACCAGCTATCCCTCTGTGGAAAAGGGAGACACTCCATTCCTGAGAGATTGGATGAGATTCACTAGTTGTATTCTTCTCTTCATGGCAACCAACCACGTTCACTCCTGAGGGTTCATAGCTGCCTGGGTCTTGCTGCCTAATAGTTACTTTGTTTTCCTAGTCTCTATATTTTATAAAAGTGTACCTTCCCTTTTATGTGGTTACTATGCCTGAGCTCAGAAAGCATAATTAGAAGAGGTTATTTTGCAAAGGAGCATTTGCAGTAATGCCTGATGAAAGAATGCTCTAGCTAATGAAGGAGAGAGAGGTGAAAGGTAAGGAATGTTTTTGCTTTCCATGCACAGAATGGTGGTTTTGTTTTGTCTTGTTTTGTTTTGTTTTGCCATAGGGCATGTGTGTTCACCAGAGAGAGGCAATGAGAGGGAAAATGAGGTCACTGCCCAGGAGGATGACCATGCTGCAATCCCTTCTCCTCCGTTCTGCTCTCAGGATTTTGGGAATGCATGCACATGTGCCCAGCATGATTTTTAAGCTTCTGGGTCTGGGACTTGAACTGCGGTCGGCCATGTGGAAATCCAGCGCCTTAACCACTGCTGGCCCAGTCATCTACGTTTGAGAAAACTGTGCACATACATAGCATAGGCTCAGCTAGTGCGAATGTGATTACAATGTCCACGGATGTCCCGGAACTCGTGTCCTCTGAGGTTTGCTGTCTTTAGGAAATCTAACCCCTGTACTCAGTTTCTTTAATGTTGTACAAAACAAATTTTTTGCTTTTACCAGTTTTCCTGGATGAATTGATTTTCAGATGGTAGATTTTTAAAAAGGAAAATAAAAAAGGAAAAGAAAGTAATGATGAACGGTTGTCATGTGCTTTGGCTTCCAAGCATGATATTGGGGCTCAGGCCAGAGGAGTGAGTTTTCTTTGGGTCCAGGCCAGGAAAATGAAACCTCAAGAACCTGGTCTTTGGATATGTCATTATCTAACAAACCAAGAGAAATGGATGACATCTTAGTGAGATGAATTTTCGTCTATGGTTTATGTGAGCATCAGCCATCAGCTAAAACGCCAATTAATATCAGTGTCACATTGTCCGATCACGCGGACAGTGAGAGCAGAGACAGCGCCCACAGGCCCTGTGTGGTGGGTCCTAAGCAGTGTAGTCTGGACACCCTGGCAATGATCATTAATTTTGCTGTTTTGATGCAGTGTTTGCGTTAATGTATTCTAGTATGTCTGAGAATATGAAAGTAACACCTGGTGAGCTCTGCGCAAATGCTTCGCTTCAGGAGGAAAGCCAGAGGGGACAGGCAGCTGAACCTGAAGCAACATTATAAATAGGCTCCAGGGAATCGACTCCTCAGATTTCTGAGAATAAAACAAAGTCAGAGAACATATACAAATAGCTGAGCCTTTCTTGGACGCAAGACGTACCTTTAAGGAAATAGTGTGCTCAGAAGTTTGTTTTGAGCTGGTTTGTAAACTAGACCGGGTTTGCAGTGCATAACTTTGTTTGCATGCAAATGCCCTCCACACACACACACACACACACACACACACACACACATTAACAAGCAGTCATTGAGGCCAATTCATAAAACATGCTCATGTTTATAGGTTCCGTTCCACTGTTTGAAAGACTTCGCGAGGTGGGTCTTCCTTCTGGAGATCTGCTGGTCTGAGATGGGCACAGCACAGACGGAGTGAGCTGACGCCTGAGTGGGGGCGAAGGGTTGACTTCATATTCCTCGAAGCCAGCGCTTGGGCTCCCAGTGCCTCTGAGATCAGCATCCTCTTCCTGTTGTATAAGGAAGATCCGGCCATGCACAGTGTTTCTTGTTGCACACAGAATCCCCAAGAAAAGTGGGCAAGGCCAAAAGCCCTCTCCTTGGAAGACCCGAAAATGCAACATGCTCGTAGTGATGAAAACTGCTCGATTAATTTAAACAGATGGTACTTCCTAGACCTGCATCCAATCTAATAAAGAAAAGTCAGTGGACTTTTGGAATTTTCTCGGATAAAAATATCCCACATCCATTTCATCCTTTTATTCCTCTCCCCCTCCCCTTGGCTTTTTTCGAGTGTAGCTGCTTGGTGTCATTCACGTCTAGGACTGCCTCCACCACCCCTGCTAGAAGTCATCGCTGCGAGAAGACAATCATGGGGTGTCATGTTCGTCACTCAGCTCCTCTCCCAAACTGATGGGCAATTCTGGCGGCCATTTCTACCATGTAACATGAGAAAGAGGGGATTCACCGTCCCTCCTTAATGTGGAGGGAGAAAATGGCTCTGTTTGCCACGCTCCCAGGGTTGGGAGGTCCTGCGAGCCTTCACCTGGAAGTGGAAGTGGAAGGTGCTAATAGGCAACCCTGAATTCAATACACACTGAAAATACACTGGCTCAATCGGAGCTGCTGAGCTTTCAGTGGGCGTTCTCAGGTGCAGGAGGAAAATGCCGTGGCTGGCTCCGCTCACATTCTGGCTGATTAATACGCTGCTAAACCCGCTTTGGAGCTCTGCCAGGAGAAATGTAAACAGCAAAAGAATTTACTCTATAAGTATCTATCTTTTTGCCAAATTGTGGAAGGAAAATGTGTTTAAGAAAAAAAAAAATGTTAGGAGGATGTGTTTTTATTACATGTATGCTCATCCGATTCCGGCTCTGTAAAACCCATCAAAACCACGGAGTATTTAAAATCAGCTGCAATCACCTTGGTCGATTGCTGATTTACAAGATTAAAAATGTTTTAACCCGAAGATGAAGGTGCATTAATAAACACAGGTCCCTGAATAATCCGTGGTGATTACTTGCCGGTCTGTTCGGTGAAAGGCTCAACACCTTAAGGAAAATTGCGAGCACGTGAGCGAGAAGGAGACCCAGATTCTCAATGACATCTGACGAATTCAGAAGTTGTGTAGAGTCGTGGTGCAGAGCCCTAAGCACTGTCCCTGCTGGTTCAAAGTCTCTGGCCTGCTTGGATCAACTGGCAGGGCAAGTTTTCTTTTTTTATTTTAATTTTTTAAAAGAATTATTTTATTTTATGTTATTTTATTTCATTTTAATTTGACCAGAGAGGGAGGGGGAGAGAGAGAGAGAGAAAGTGAGAAAGCAAGCCACCTGTTCTGGGACTCGAACCGTGGTCAGCAGGGCAAGTTTTAAAGCTGAATATGCATCACAAGGCCTTACCGGTGTCAGGGAAGACCTCTCTCCCAGGCCTGTTTGGTTCTCTAACCAGTTCTTGGAACACAGGGAAGTCCTACACTAACGGGGGGGAGGGGGTTGGAGAGTGGGAGGGTGAGTCCTGGCGGGATGGAGTCGCAGATAGCCAATCTGAGAGCCAGGCACAGGCTCTTAATGCTGCGTTAACAAGTCCAGGTCTTACTCCCTGGGGAGCTCAACCTGAATTGACCTGCTGTTGTTTGTCCTCTTCCAGAGTTTTTCATTTTTGAGGCAAAAATCATTTGTAACTGGTAGACTTTATGTATCTGTGTAGTAAGTAAAAGAATATGGCAACTGCTAATAAATAGACATAAAAATGGGGAAAGGAAGATGGAAGACAGCAGGTTGTGATCAGCTTCAAGGAACAGATGCCAGTGGACATACCTGTTCCCATGTATGAAGCTAGCGAGGGTTGAAGGTCAGCAGACTTCTAGACGTTCCATGAAAGGACATGGCTGGAGGGCGAAGGGCAGGGGACAATGGAGTCAGGAACACAGCCATATGCCCCAGTGCATCTGCAGGAGATGACCCATCTCCTCAGCCACTGCTGCAGGCACCTGTTGACTCTCACTATGGTGCAGTGGTGAGAAAAGTCTACTTGATAAAAACCCTACAAGTGAATGTGCTCTTGTCACTGTGGAATCCCTGGACGTTGGTTTATTTATTTATTTATTCCATGAGTGAGACAGACAGACACACACACACACAGAGAGAGAGAGAGAGAGAGAGGCTTGGGCACCTCCAACAGAGCCCAGACACCATGTTCTACCCCCAGCCCAGCCAGCCTGGATCATGGGTGCACATGTGCCTCATGTACTCAGGGAGGTCTCTGGAAGCACATCAGTGACCTTCGCTGTGGCCTGCCTTGTTGAACATTGTACTTTATGGCTATGTTCTGTCCAGCTCCAAGAATCCCTGGATTTTTAAGGATTATAAGTCATATTAACACTTCACAGCACTTGGAGGCCACTGCATTTGTGCCAGACCTTCCCCGAACTCACAATGGGATTGGAGGATGATGGGATTTTCAATGAGCGTGAATTCAACAGGACGAGCTGAGGGCACCTCCGGCTCTGCTCCGGGGTCTGGCCTCGTGGTGTTCTTCTGTTCAGATGCCGCCTGAACATCTGCAAACCAATTGTTTGAGAAAGCACAAGACTTTCCTTTGTGCTCCTGTTTTATTTTTCGTGTTGCTTCTTAAGTAGGTCGATTGCCAAGTCCAGCTGAGAGGAGAACCCGTTTCCAGGTGAAGAAAACCTGTTGTGTGAAGTGCAGTCCTGTGAGGCGGCTGGGGGTCTTAGCTCCATCCAGCACTCCATACTACCTCCTTGTTGCCGAGGCCCCTCAGCTCAGGTGGTCCCTCCAGATGCCACCTCCAGTCCCCATTTCAGTACCTCGCACTCATGCTCTGGGTCCCCTGCACGTCTCACTGGCATGTAGACAGATGCCCTTTCTGGACTCAGTCACAGCTGTGCCCTGGATGCCGTGTATCAGCCATGATGTTCCTTTGCAGAACCATTCTACTCACTGAGCTGCTTTAGCCAGGAACTTGGGGAAAACGCACCTCAGAGCCGGGCTTCATTTTCTCTCCGTGATCCGAGATAGCGGTGTTTATAAGAGGGAGACGCTGCTGTATACATAGTCCTTAAATCTTGGATCAAAGACCGAGTGTTGTCCCAAAGCTGTATTTCAGCTTTCAGGGGCCTCTGCCCTTCACGCACTAACTCACTGAATACCCTCTGTGGATTTCCCCCACTTCTGGTTCCACGGCCACACATCTCACAAAGCCAACGGCGAGCTTTCCCCTCGCAGGCAGCACCGTGTCAGCAATAACGGAGGGCAGCCGAGATAGCCTACGGTGGTCCTCCCCAAGCCTCAAATCAATACTCATGTTCAACCCTAAGATAAGAACATGCCTAGAGTTGAGGGGTCAGTAAAAACATTTCTGTTATATAAACTGATGATGAATTCGTTTTTGTCTCAAATAAGTTTAGCTGAAATGTATGAAACGCATTGGTGCACGTGGGGGCCCACTCCGGTGCCGTCCTTGTAAGAAAGTCAGACCCACAGACTCTTTGGGGGGATGATTTGGGTGGCACAGCCAGGGGCAAATAAACAGGAGATAAGTTGATTTTGGCTTCAGTGGTGATGTTGGCAGTGACCTTGGTGGTGACGTTGGTGGTGACGTCATCACAGCCACTCAGACACTGTAATCTGGCAAGTCTAGGGATGTCGGCGTGTGGCCAGTGAAAGCCCATGCAGGAAATTCTGCGCTGGTCTACCTGTCATCACAGAGATGCCTCCTAGTGCTGGAGGCTGGCCCTGCTGAGGACAGTGCCGGGTACTCTGCATACAGCATCTCATATAATCTTCACAAGGATTTAAGAGCTGAACAGTGTTGGTCCACTTCATTTCACAGAGGGGGCAAGTGGGATCAGCGTGGGTGAACTGACTTGCTATGCTGACGGGGCAGCAGACTGGGAATTCTCAGCTGAGTTTAGACATAGAAGAAGGAATCATTGCAATGACTCTGTGCCCCCTTGTCTGGGCTGGGAGTTACTGAACTCTGTGTCTTCCCCTGGGAGCAGAGTGGACAACTCTTCTGGTTACATTTTTAGGTTTTTCTTGGTTGCATTGACTCAACCACCTCACCCATGAGAAGTGTCCTCTACTGTTGGCCCTTTCAGTGGGTACCGTGCCCCTCTTCCCACTACAGAGTGAAGAGAAGGTGGGTAACCCTTCCTTGTCTCTGTCCCTAAAGGCCAAGCTTAAAGTATGGCTTTGGTCTGGCCATAAGAATTTCCTGACTGATCCTGACCTAAGGTGTCATAGGACAAAGGGTGGAAAGACACTATAATGACAGCCCAAGGTGTCCTGTGTGCTGCCAGCTGCCTACACAGTTTCTGCTGGCTTGGGTCTCTGTCATGGCTTAGGGTCCCATCCTCTAGGTTGTCTTCTTTAGCTCTTCTCCACTCAGGCAGCCTTCCAGTGACTTCCATCTTTCTCTTTTCTCTCTCCCCTCTCTTTTCTTTCTTCTCCTTCCTTCCTTTCCCTCCATTTCTCTCTCTCTTTCTTCTCTTCTTTCTCTCCTTCCCTTCTTCCTTCTTTGTTTCCTTCCTTCTCTCAAGGTCTTGCCATGCCATATTCTTCCTGACTCAGCCTCCCAGCTCAGACCACAGATGTGCCACCACACCCAGCTCTCTCTCTTTCTGTTAGGCGAGGACTCACTGTGCTGCCCATGCTGGCCTCGTGCTTGTGGTCCTCCTGCCTCAGCCTCTGAGCAGCTGGAACTACGAGTGCTCTCCTCCCAGCTTGGCATTTAGGGTAGGCCGGGAATTGAACTGGGACTCCTGCATGCCTCAGCCTGCCAAGTAGCTGCATCTACCAGCACGCTCTACCGCGGCTGGGCCACTTTGTGCTGCTGAACTAGGGACTGGGCATCTTCTCCATGATGCGGGCTCCAAGGTCACCAGGAAGGAAAAACGGAGGAGGAGGAATCCCATCCCTGACTCCTGAGGTTTGGGCCCCAGGTTTGGGTTTGGCTTGTGTCCTAGATTTTTAAGTACGATGTGCTTTTGCAGAGAAATCTGGCCTTTTGAGCCTGATTCTTCCAAACAGGAAAATTACATCAAAATGGAAAATATTTATTTTGACAATCTCAGGGGACAAAAAGTGACTTCAGTGCATAAAATCATTCTATATAGAATTTAAATAAAAAGTCAAAGAGCATGTGGTGAGGCCTTGGCGAACCCAGACCTCCCTATTTTGCTTGAATTTCAATATTCTGACATCGCCTCCAGTTCCTTTTTACCCTCAGATTGCAAGTTTAAGAAATAACTTCGTACTTTTCTGTAAGTTAGTGCACATCAGAAAAGGCAATTTGATAGGTTATTTTTCTACTGAAAATTCAGCTCTCCCCTCACAATTTGAAAGAGCTTGTCACAGTTCCCCAAATGTTAATGCTAAACCAGCTGAGAAGAGACGCACATGCCCAAGGCTCTGGCAAGCACGTTAAGCTAATAACCAGGAACAGGCTAAAAAGGACACACACACTCCTATGGATACACACATATGTGCATGGGCACGTATGACACGTACACATATGTATGCATAGGTATTATGCAAAAAATCTTTTTCTTTCTCTTTTTAAATGGATTTTAATGGAAATCTAAATTGGAAGCGAGTTGACACAGTTTTTGCCTAGAGCAAATAAAATGTCTTAAATGTTTAAAAACTCCTGATGGAATTTTTGCCCCTTAAATCTTAAGGAGCAGCTGCCTTCTCCTGGACCAGCTCTCCGGAACATCTTAGTTCAACAGCTTCACAGCAGTGGGCTTGTTTCCTCATGTGGGAGATAAAGGATTGGGGTCATTAATGGACTTTCTCTAACAACGATGAGTCCATAATTTATGAAAATGCACAGGCCCATTGCTGTTGGGCCTGGATGTGGAGGGGCCACTCAACTAAAGAACTTCTCCCCAGCCCCTGCGGCTGGCTCAGTGCATAGCTGCTGTCTGGGGCACGGAGGAGTATGGGCTGCCCTGGATGCCAGGTGGT